CTCTCCTGGTGGTCCACTGGCCTGCTCTACTCCTGTACAAGAAACAGAGGATTGAGGGGAGTTTGGTTTTCTCTGCTGCCACTGGAAAAGTCTGTCCTTTCTCTTGATAGATGAGGTGGTAAAAGCCTCTACCACCCCGTCCCCATGTTCATCCTTCCCTGGGGGAGACACCAAAAGTGGAGAAGGGAGGGTTCTGCTATGTGTCACCCTCCAGCACCCCCCCCCCCCGCCCCACCACAGAAGGACAGGGTCTCCAAGGGCTATCCAATTCAAGCCCTTGCTTTATTGGAAGCCATCAGAATGATTCTTCCCCAGGGGTTCCAGGGGACCCTCAGCAAGTTCTCAGACACCCATCTTACCTTCCACCAGGTACCATTGATTCACATCTCAGCATGGGATCCAGAGGCCTGGCCTGTCTCATGCTTTGCTCCTGTCTGGTACCCACTCAGTGCTCAATAAATGTTCATTGGATGAATAAATTCAAGGAACCTAGTGACCAACTGAATGGACTATTTTCATTCTTAATGTACTTTGTCCTGAATACAGGCAAATAACAAGGTGGATTAGCTACATTTTTTTTAGCACCCAGGGACCAGCAAGAGATAAAACAGGGGAGGGGGCAGGACTGGAACACCAACGTTCTCCTCAGGACTAAGTCAAGCACTGTATGGGCAGGGTTCAAATTGGAAGAGTAAAATCAGGAGCATCAAGAGCAAAGGGAAGAACTGAGGACCCATCCAAGGCTGAGGACCCAGAGCAGCAGGAGGTGACTGAAGGCCCAGGGACTCAGGTGGCATCGAGCTCCGTATGGAAAGCCTTTCTGGAGATGGCTGTGAACACAGGGCTTCTTCTCACCCTCCTCAATCCAAATTCCCTTAGCGAATGCATCACTCTGAGCCTTGGCAATGAAGCTGATGGTTACTCAAGAAATTTTTCCAAAACATAGAAGCAGACATCATCCCTCCCAGCTGGCCAGCCCACATGCAGTGCTCTGCTAAAGCAGACCCTCCTGCCCCAGGAGGGTGACACTAATTGTGGCCTCACAGCACAGTAGTACAGTGGGTACACGTCCAAATTTGATCGCTCTAGTGACGCTGTGTAGCTCATACAACCTCTCTGTGCCTCCATTTCCTTGTCTGTACCATGGAGACTAGTGACACAACTTACTTCATCAAGTTACTGTGGGGAGTCAGAGAGCGAACGTAAACAGAGTGCCAAACATTTGCCTGAAAAGGAGCCTCATGCCCCTTACGTTTTTGCCAGTGTCATCTGAAACAGGACCAGAGAGGAACTATTAGAAAGATGTTTCCAAAACAAGTTAAATGGGAAGCCAATCTGGGGCTGCCTAATGGGCAGGAATGTTTGGATAGAAATCATCAAAGTAAGGTCTTGTTCTACCTAAGCCCATATTTGCTCTGAGCGGTCTACCAACAGCTCTCCCTCTTGGGTGTGTGTCTGGCTGGTGAGCTGGAACACAGCTAGACAGAGCCTTCCAAGTTCATGTGCAAAGAGAATCTGCCCATTGTTAAAACCCAGTGTCTATTGCCTGTATTAGAGACTCAGTGTTCTTCTGTCCAGAGAAGAGGGTCAAGATAAATGACCTCATCCCTCACTAGACTTGGAGGCTCCACTAACCGTGCAGCCCCGTGTGGAAGGCTGATGCTAGCAGGAAACTGCAGGATGCTACCCATCCTGGGTCCTTTAGAGCCCCCCTCTCAGGCTAACCCCACAGGGAAGAAATAGTGTCTACCTCAGTGGGGAGTAAGGGGCCTGTGGTTCAATTCTGAGCCAGACTGGGCACAAACTAAATACAGACAGGGGCCAGTACTGTAACCAGGATGTAGCACCCAGACTCGTGGGTCAAAGCTCAACAGGGCCACTTATCCATCTCTGGCACCTCAGACTTCTTCCTTGTCCCTGGATTTACTTGACTTCGAATAGAAGAATACATCATTGTCTTGTATATTGCCAGGGCAGGCACTCTAGGTGTGATTCCTGTGGGAAAGGCACACTCAACTTGTCCAGCTCACATCAATGCTGGTTGTTGTTACAACAGGCTACAATAAGATCCACCCTTTCCATAATTTATTTTCCTTTTAACTGTGAACAAACCAGCATAGAACCATGCCTGTATTTTGTGCCAGATTGGGAGCAAAGTCCATGACTTTTCTGCTGGCCAAGGTCATAGCAAAAGACCCAACTTCTTCTGAGGACCCCTTCTTCAGAGTCCCTCAGATGTTTTTGTGTGTATGTGAATTTTTTTTGTAACTCGATCATACAGTTCTCAAGGAACTTTTAGATGGCAATGTTGCATCACAAATGTCACACAAAATAAATGTATATGGGTTAAACATCCCTGGAAACTGTGGCGTAAGACAATTCTTCAATCCAATGTGGCCCAGAGATGCCCCAGGGTTGGCTGACCCTAGGCTCCTACCCAGCTCAGACCGGCTTCTCCTAGGCACAGTCTGTATAGCACTTAAATCATACGGCCTGACGAAGTGAAGTTCAGGATCTTTCCAGAAACCAGTGCCATCTCAGTGTCTTGTGCTGCCTTCCCAGCCTGGCCCTCTGCCTCTCACTGCCCAGGCAGCAGTCTCCAGGTGATATTCCTCCAACAAGGTCTGTCAGCACAGCAGCCGGGACAACCTCTGACACTAGCAACCCGAGTGAGCAACAAACCTGCTCCAGCCCCGCCCGTGCAGCCCTACCTCACAGAGCAAAGCCGCACAGCACAGAAGCCTGCAAAGCCCTTCTGCAGTTCCCAGCCTCAGTTGCACAGCACCACCCTGGAAACCTTCACTAACTGGATCCAGGCTGTCGCTCTGGCATCGGGATTTGTTTAGTTTTTGGCTTTTGAAGCAGGCTCTCAAACATGCCAGCAAGCTATTACCTTGGGGCAGAGCTTCCTAGTCCCTCTGCCTCCACGGCTTCCTTCCTCATGCCCACGGGCTCTTTACCCAGATATCACCTTCAGAGTGAGAGTCTCTGATGACCTGTGAGAGTTCACTACCCCCACTCCTATCCCGGAGGCCGCCATGCCCTCTCCCAATTTCTGTTCTCTGTATCATGTGCCACAATGGGATCAGGCTGTGTATTTGGGTTTCTTACCTGTTCCTGCCCAACTAGAATGGGGGCTATAAGCTCTTTTGTTCACTATTATATCCACTTCTGTAGATACGAGCACACTATAAAGGCTTTATGAGGACTGGGGAAATGGCTCAGTTGGTAAAGTGTTAGCCACGCAAGCAGAGGACTTGAGTTCAATCTCAGTTGTCATGTAAAAAAGCCAGGAGCCAGCCACAGTGGCCCATGCCTTTAATCCCAGCACTTAGGAGGCAGAGACAGGCTGATCTCTGTGACTTAGAGGTCAGCCTGGTCTATATATAGTGAGCTTCAGGCTAGCTGGGTCTACAGGGAGACTCTGTAACTAACTAACTTTAACTAACTAACTAACTAACTAACTAACTAACTAACTAACTAACGTAAGTACATGGGGCATGGTGGCATGTGTTTATAATCCCAGCTTTTGGGAGGTGGAGACAGGAGGATTTCCAGGGACTGTTGGACAGTCAGCCTGGCTGAGGAGCTAAATCTCTGAGAAGCAGACAGGGCCACTGATGAGATGGCCTTCTTCCTGGTTGGAGACAAAGGCCTGGGAGCTCGTCCCTAGCCAGCATGGCCTCTTTTCTGACTGACTGTTTCGATCAGTTTATTTGGATCTGGACATGCTTTCCTCAGCTTGGAGCTGACCAATGGGCTCTCCTTTCTTTGTTTAAGTTGGCCATTCCAAAATTAGGGAAGGGGAACCCACCAAAAACACTTAGAAGGTCCAAGCCTTCCTTGGGGCTTTAGAAGTTTTGGCTTCTGAATCACCTCTCCATGCGGAGCACTTCTCTCTTTGCAGGTGTATGTACCTATGTGTTTCTTTACTTTTAATAAAGTTTGCTACCTGTTGCTTTCTACTGTGACTGAGATTTTTCCTGCCTTGCAATGTTTTATTTTGCAGAAAAAAATGACCCCGATCATGATCCCTACATGGCAACACAGCCCACGTGGTGAGCTCCAGGCCAGTGAGGGACTCTATCTAAAAACACAAGGTGCAAGCACCCGAGTAATGACACCCGAGGCTGACCTCTGGCCTTCATAGGCACTCACATGTCCACACATACGCCATGTGCACATGTACCTGTACATGCACACACACACAAGACTTCATAAATCATCTTTAAGTGGGTACATATTCCTTTCCCCCTTTGTAGGTCCCCAGATTTTCAATCCCTATAGCCCAGCCAGGTTCCCCCAGGGCCAGGAACAATCACACCCAATTCCACAGTATACATCAGGTGCTCTGTAAATGTTGACAGAGCTGAGCTGAACTTCTCTCCCTAAGAGATCATAGCTTCCAAGTTTGGCTGCTTGAAAAGTCCTAGCAACTCCAGCCATAAACTCACTGTGGTTTATGGCTTTGAGTAACATTTTAAAACCGAGGAGAAAGAGGGGAGAAGGTGCGGGGAGCTCACAAAAGTTAATGAGATTTTCTTACTGTGGTATGTACCCACGTTTTTAATAATTAGGAATAATAAAAATTCGAGCTGAATCTCAAAGTAACATCCTTGTGTAACAAAGAGTGAAGTCAAGGCATACTTCTCTGTTGGGTGTAATGACTTGTTCACCCTGAAGATGGATGTATTTAAAAAAAACTAATTTAAAGAAAAAAATTATTCATAAAAATGCAGCTAATTGGGTTAAAATGACATATTAGTGGGAATGCGAGATGACTTTGGCACCCTGAAGGGGTAATTTGGATTATTAATCCTCAAACCCTCTAATAGGAAGAAGCTGTTCCCCTACTCTGGACAGCTGGGGAAACTGAGGCTGGGATGACAGACCCTGGATGAGGGGGGACCCAAGAATCTGCTCCCTCCCCCCTCCCTGGCTCTGTCCCCAGCACTGTGAGGACAAGGTCCCCACAGGCAGCCTAGTCATTTACTGCTCACCCACTGGGTCTGAGGTCTGGCAGCGGCCGGTCGAGAGGCAGGCGGTCACTGAGGTAGGCGTTGTAGCCGTAGTACTGGAACTGCTTTAGAGCCTCACGCCGGCCTTCTGGGCTGAGCTCCTGACCCCAGTGTGCAAACAGGGAAGAGTCCGTGAAGGGCTCAGCCTCTGCCTCCTCAGGCTTGGCAGGAGCCTCTGGAGAAAGAAGGGACAAGGAGACAGTGGGTCAGAGTGTACCCCTGTATATGCCACATCAATCCCCTTCCCCTCCTCACAACAGCTTCAGGTAAAACAATCTCAGCCCCTTCCATGGCGAGTGAGGAGAGAAAGGAATGTTCATATTTCTCAAAGATTCATCCACATACGAATCCATTCCTTCATTTTGTATAGTAGCTGTTCCAAGCAGCAGTTGCAAACAGATGGGTGTGAACCTGATGCCCCTGGCTCCAGCCCAGAACCCCCACCTTTCCCAGCCTGTCTCCCTGCCAGGGATTCTGGCCTCAGTCCCCTAGATGGGCTTCTGCATCTCTTCCAGTCTGTACCCTTCCACCCCATTTCCTGTAGTCCTGAGTTTGCGCACATCCAGCCCCTTGTTGAGGACTTCTCCTCTGCCCAGTTCTGGCAACCCATCCCCCTCTCCACTGTCTGTGTGCTGAGAGAGAGAGAGGGAGAGATGGCTGGCCCACCCTAGTCATACTGCCTCCTGCCACTTCAGACCCCAAGAGGGGCATAGGGACCCAGGCAACAGCCCTCCACAGGCTCCGGGAACCCCTCCCTGGAGTCCTGGTGGATTTGTGGATGTAACCATACCCCAGGCCCAGGATCTTCCCAGGCACATGAAGGAGGGGGCTCAGTTGGAATAACACTGGCTTCAGAGTCACCCGTTACAGTTTCAAATTCTTCTGCTCCACCACACACAGCTGAGAGACCACAGCAAGTGTCTGCCTCCCTAAGCCCATCCTCCTCTGTATTTAAAGTAGAGATTATAGTAGCCCCTACCAAGATCTGCAAGGGCTGCATTAGATAACACATATAAAGCAATCAGATGTATCTCAGAGAGAGCACACACAATCAATGGTGATCAGGCTTGCTATAGCAAGAGAGGTTACAGCTGATAGGCAGGGACATTCAAACTGGTTCCCAAGAACAGGCTGTCAGGAGAATCATAAGATCATAAGGCAGAGATGGTGGCAGTGATATCTACCCCACCAGACATGCTCAAAACCATTAGAGGTGTGGAAGAGATGGAGTCAGATACCTGAGGATGCATAAGCAGATCAGGACCAGGCCCTAAAGGTGCAGCCTGGAGACAGGCAGGGCCAGGGTCCCCAGATCTTCATGATCAGGGTACTCAGAGCTCCAGATGACCACCTCCTCTTGGGTCACTCTGCTAAGAGCTGACCTGGGAGACAGAAGGACACCTGGTCACAAAGGGGAGCCTTCCACGACCCTGGCCAACACAATGTTCAAAGGAAGACCACACAGCTGACTGGAAGAGTTCAGAGGATGTTGTGCAGTGGAAGGAACTTAGGGAGCCAATGATTTCAAAGGCAAACTGGAGTACGGGTATGGCAGAGAAGAGAGAGGAAAAAGAGGGACAGGGAGTACGGGAGGTCTAAGGTCTACAGGTCTAAAGGGACTGCTAAAATCCCAATCAGATTCTCTGGACCAGCATGTATGAGGCGCCTCTCCTCTGGAGGCTCTGACCTCCCTTTGGGTCTCAGATGTAAGTTCTTGGATAACTCTGATTAACATTACCTGAGTGCTTACAGTTCCCCTGAGCAGACCACTTCTAGGCCCTTCGTCTCACACTAAGCTTCCTCACAAAGAGACACATAGAGGACCAGCAATGTACCTGGGTCACACAGGAGGAAAGGAAGGAGCTGAGATTCCATCCCCGGAGGCCCAACTCCCTGGGCAGCGGCCCCACCTGTGCTTGGCAGCAGGCTGGGAAGAACATCTCATCTTTGTTACCAGTTTCTTTTGGAGACAGAAAACTCAGATCCATCAAGAAGGTTAGGGTTAATTAAGGGGTACAGTGTGGCCCATGCATGAATTACTAAGGGTTTTTAGGCATATGAGGGCCGTTCCAAAGCTCCATTGTGGAATGGGGTGCACTTGCTCCTTCACCTCATGAGATATGCTGGAGGGGAAGCAGGCTTTCATGATCTTGATGGTCCTTGTTATCATTGCAAAGAGGTATGACTTGTTTGCTTGGAATGGGGGGGTAGTAAAAGTCTAAATCAGTGAGCCAACTGAATCATTTAATATTGAAAAGAAATGGAGTTTTATTGCTCTCAAAAGCCTAAGTGGATATTACCAAGTAAAATGAGATCAGTTAATGAAAAAATTATGATTCACAATTAGGCCTCTGTTACATAATAATGTATTACAAACAGATTGACGTTCTGGGTTACAGCATGGTATGTCCCTACCTTGTTACTTGGTGTGGGTACAAATGACGGCCAACTTCAAACCAGCAAGCTCTCAGAGATGAACTAGGGGACTGGGTAATGGCTCAGTTCATTAAATTCCTGCTTAATGACACAGTTCTTGAAATGCCTGCCTTGTAAGCGTGAGGGCCTGAGTTTGACCCCTAGAACCTATGTCAAAAAAGAGCCAGGTGTGGTGGTGCATATTTGTAATCCCAGCTCTGGGAAGGCCAAGACAGCTGGACTCTTGGAGTCAGCCTAGCCTACCTGGTGAGTTGATTAGTACCTGTGGAATGATACCTAAGGTTATCCTCTGGTGTCCATTTTCAATACACACACATCTAAGAATACCTGCACACACATGCACTTCATGTACACACACACACACGCACACGCACACACACTTACACACTCATACACAAACACATGTATGCACACGTGAACTAGGAGTGCTACAATGGGAAGCAAACAGTTTCCATTCTTAATTCCTTTTAAAAATATTTTATTTATTATTTTTAATTTTATGTGTATGAGTGTTATGCCTACATGTAGGTAAGTGCACCCATATTGTGCAATGCCCACAGAGGACAGAAGAGTCTGTTGGAGCCCCTGGAACTGGAGCTATGGCTAGTTGTTAGCTGCCTTGTGGGTGCTGGGATTTGAACCTGGGTCTTCTGCAAGAATAGTCAGTGTTCTTAACTGCTGAGCCATCTCTCCAGCCCATCTTCTTAATAATTTTTAAAGTTAGCATGCACTATTGTGGGTTTCACTGTGACATTTTCACACATGGATGTCAGCAGGCTTTGCTCTTACTCATCCCCTCACTCATTACCCCCCATCTTCCCTTTCTCACCTCTTGCTGGTCCTTGTCCCCCACAAACAGTCCTCAGCTCTCCTTTCATGCCACGTATATCCCATTGTTCTCTTAGTCTGCAGGATCACGACAGACTCCCTTCTATTGTCATGATCTACACATATGTTCCCCCAAATATATAAATTTAAATCTAGATTCCATATATGAGAGAAACATGCTATGTCTGTATTTCTGAGCCTGGCTTATTTCACTTAACCTAAAAACCTCAGGTCCTATCCATTTTCCTAAAAATGTCATGATTTCATTTTTCTTTATAGCTGAGTAAAATTCTATGGCTTGCATGTACCACATTTCATTATGCTCATAGCGTTAAACCAGGATCAGGCAAGTGAGTGGTCAGTAGAGTCCTGTTTGGGACTCCCAGAAGCTTTCAGGGGGTCAAAGGGGACCGGAACTTGCCGGCAGCCTGCTGGTTTCCTATCTAGTCACTGAACCCGTGACTATGTATATTATGATGTATCAGCAGCACACTCAGACACATCTCGGGGGCTCTGTGGAATACAGTCACTGGTAGACAACTGCCACTCTCTCCCAGGGTGCCTTGGTAAGTCTCTCCTACCAGAGAATCATCTAGCATCTCTCCCATCTAGAACAGGACTGCACACACAGCAGTTATTCTGGGACTATGAGGAAGCAAAGGAGAGAAGTTGCTTCTTTTCCCTCTCCCCTCCTCTCCACCTCTCCTCCTCTACCCTCCCTCTTTCCTCTTCTCCTTCCTCTCTTCTTCCTGGAAGAAAGGAAAAGTATAAGAAAGGAAAGAGCTAGTGAGGTAGGGAATGCCTCCTCTCCTGTCTCTCCTCTCCCCCCTTTCCCCTTCTGTCTTCCTCTTCTTCCTCTGTCTGTCTCTGTCTCCCCTCCCTCTCCCCACACTGTCTCCCTTATTTCCTCATCCAGAAGGGCTCAAAATGAGAAGGATCCCAGTGAAGATTGCCAACATCTCTCCTCCCTGATACCAGGCACAGAGGGCAACATGGTAGAAAGACCCAGCATCTCCAAGAAAACTGACCCAAGATGCCTTTGGGGAGTGTCCCACCAAACCACAGTCACAGAGGCCCAGGAAGGCAGGTCAGGCATCTCCTTCTTTCCTCAACAATAGCTCTCAACTGTCTTCAAAGTTCTGGAAGACATGGTGACACCTGTCCATTCCTCTGAGTGCCCCCATTTCCAAGGTACTTGTTACAGAATCCTTATGAAGAGCTCTGGGAGGAGGACTCCCTGAGGAGGACTCCCCAAGGGGATGCTGGTCAGCCCTTGAAGAGACAAGGTGCTGCCGCCATTGTCTGGGTCAAGCATGACGTTCCGCAGGCATCAGCAGAGACCTAAGCTGACTTGGGTCTCATGGTTACTGAATGTTTCTGGGGGACACTCCCTGAGGGACCAAGGGACCTGTCCTCCCTGCTAATCTTCAGTATGTCCCGGGTCAGCATCCAGCAGCTCCACCCTGGCTGGTCTCATCCAGAGGGGCTCCTGGGGGCTGCTCTTCCCTCATTGCTGGGCCTCCTCCACAAATGACAAGATCTTCTTAACTTGTTAAATGATGCAAACTTATACAAATTTAGTATTTATTGGTTGTGTGTATATGTGTATTTGGTATGCACATGTGGGGGGCAGTGCGCACGGAGACCATAGGGTGACTTTGGGTATCCTGATGTATCATTCTCTGCCTTACAACCTTGAGACAGGGTCGCTCAGTGAACTTGGAGCTAAGCTACTGACCAATAAGCCCTGGTTACCCTCCTGCCTCCCCTCACCCCTCAGTATTGAGGTTACAGGCATGCAGACTTTCTATGTGGGTTCTGGCATTTGAACTCAGTTTGTCATGTTTGCATAGCAAGTGTTCTTACCCACTGAGCCATCTCCTCATGTATCTCAACAGCTTTATTCTATGC